TATAATATCACGTATCACATATTACAGTATTCTAACGATCCAGTCTGATCTGTCTCTTTTTTCTCTTTTCACTGCGCAATAGCAATCCTATTCTTATAGAAAATTGAGGAAAAACGCTATCAATGTCACCATATTTTTTTCAATGGTCATACTCACGAGGTCTGTTAAAAAAGTATCGCGAATTTAGTATTTTTTCAAAAAGTATTTATTCATGAATATCTATTTTATTGCCTTTAAAGGAATCTTCTTCGGATATAATACGAGAATACTTGTACCACCGCTTTTTCCAATCCTCGAAGCACTTAAAAAAATCATGTTTTGTGATTTTGTTCAGCTCTTCCTTCGATGCCCTCTTTGTCTTCTCGATCGTACCATAACATCGTCCTTTCATGGACCTCTTCAGTTTTGAGAACAGGAAAAACTCACAGGGGGCTAGGTCTGGGAAATATGGTGGCTGCGACACCATTACTGTGTTGTTTTTGGCCAAATATTTGCACATAAGCAACGATGTGTGAGCAGGGGCGTTATCATGATGCAAAAGCCAGTTTTTGTTCGTCCACAAATCCCGAAGTTTCTGGCGGATTGCTTTGCGCAAATTGCGCATAACTTGCAGGTAATATTCCTTATTGACCGTACTACCCTGTGTCAAGAACTCATGGTGCACCTGGTCTCTGCAATCGAGGAAAACTGTGAGTAAAACATTCACATTCGACCAAACTTGGCGCGCTTTTTTCGGTCTTGGCTCATGCGGCAGCTTCCATTGAGATGATTGAGCTTTGGTTTCATAACCATAAACCCATAATTCGTCACCAATTATGATCCTCTGGAGCAAATTTGGGTCGTCTCGGATCGTGTCCAACATCTCCTGAGCAATGTTAATACGATAATGTATTTGGTCGAAATTGAGCAATTTTAGCACAAATTTCGCAACAGCTCAACTCATGCCCAAATCATTGATTTAAAATCGAATGACCGGAGCCAATCGATATACCTAGGTGATCAGGAACTTCTCTAACGATGATTCGACGATTGGTCAATACTATTTTCTTCACTTTAACAATGTTTTCGTCTGCTGTTGACGTGCTTGAGCGTCCGGCACGCTCTTCGTCGTTCACATCTTCTCGGCCCTTTGAGAACGTTTTATACCACCGATAAACGTTGCTTTGGTCCAAGGTACCTTCACCATATCCTACAGTCAACATTTGAAATGTATCCGTATACTTTATTTTGTTTTTCACACAAAATTTGATACAGATTCTTTGATCCATTTTTTGGAACTAGCAAAAATTGAAGACGAGCTAAAACACATTCAAGCAAAACAGCTGCCAAAAATTAACTAAATATTCAAAATGGCCGACCTTGTCAGCATAAGTAAGAGACACGAGTACCAACATAAGGCTACAAAAACATAAAAAATAAAATATACGCAGCTCGCGAAAAACGAAATATCGCAATAATTTTTGAACATACCTTGTATTTTATTAAGTAGAAAGAGAGAGAGAGAAATTTGATTTGATTCTTTATAACACCTTAGGGTAGTACCCTATCTGGTGATTAATACAAGTTATATTTAATATAATAGTTAAATCGCAATATAAGTGATAGATACAAAGTACGAGGGTGGTCCGATAAGTACTTAGCCTACAAAAGAAAAACGACAATTTTGGAAAAGTGGAGTTTTATTTTTCAACATAGTCTCCTTTTAGTTCGATACACTTGGCCCAGCGATGCTCCAACTTCTTTAACCCGTCTGAAAAATACATTTCCTTGAGGTCTGAAAAGTAGGCTTCCGTGGCAGCGAGTACCTCCTCATTCGACTCAAATTTCTGTCCGGCGAGTGACTTTTTCAAGTTTGGAAACAAAAAGAAGTCGCACGGGGCTAGATCTGGAGAATACGGTGGATGGGGCAGCAGTTCGTAGCCTAATTCGACCAATTTGGCCATGGCGACGGCGGAGGTGTGAGCCGGTGCGTTGTCATGGTGGAAGAGCACTTTTTTCTTCACCAAATGGGGCCATTTTTTCTGCAATTCGACGTCGAATCGGCACAATAATTCGGCATAGTACAGCCCTGTGACCGTTTTGCCCCTCTCCAGGTAGTCGATGTAGATCTCACCTTGTGAATCTCAGAAAACGGTGGCCATCACCTTTCCGGCCGATGGGGCAGTCTTCGCCTTCTTCGGAGCACTTTCGCCGGGTAAAGTCCACTGTTTTGACTGTTCCGTGGTCTCTGGTGTATACCAGTGGATCCATGTTTCGTCGACTGTCACGAAACGACGCAGAAACTCCTTCGGATTGCGCTTAAACAGAGTCAGACATTGCTCTGAAGTTGTCTCACGGTTGCGCTTGTTGTCCGGAGTGAGCAAACGCGGCACCCATCGCGCCGACAGCTTTCTCATGCCCAAAATTTCATGCAGGACATGACTCACGCAGTTTTTTGAGATGCCTACGGTCTTAGCTATCTCGCGCACCTTCAATCGTCGATCTGCCAATACGAGATCGTGAATTTTTGTCACGTTATCCTCTGTGGTAGCCGTTTTCGGAGCACCTGGACGTGGCTCTTCAAAAATCGACGTGCGACCACGTTGAAACTCGTTAAACCAATTTTTGACGGTCGCCATCGACAGAGAAGAGTCACCGTACACAGCATCCAAGCGCTTTCTGATTTCGCTGCGCGATTTCCCTTCCAAAAACAAGAATCGAATCACCGACCGATACTCCTCTTTTTCCATTTTTCAAAAATCAACGGACACACTTGCTTTCACACGCTCTCAAAAATAAACTACAACTCCGACCCGGCTGCAATCTTGACAGTAACCATCGAGAAGGTTGTACTACGTGATAGAATATTTCTTTTGCGAGAGTGGCGCCATCGGTCGGTGAGGCTAAGTACTTATCGGACCACCCCCGTATACCTTCTGGCTCTTTAGAAATCACCGCGGGTAATGTCACTATAGAATTAAGCCGAAATGTAAGATTTTTAGGCCTCATTCTAGATTATAAATTAAACTTTAAAGATCATATTGATTCAGTGTTAGCAAAAAGCTTGCGGGCGTTGAACATTATCAAATTTGTAAGAGGTACGTGGTGGGGAGCCGACCCTGCATCACTTTTAATATTATACAAAAGCTATGTTCGATCTTCTCTAGATTATGGTTATTTTATATATTTTCCAACCCAAGTTAAAGAAATTAAAAAACTGGAATGGATTCCATTCGCCGCCATCAAACTTGCCTTCGGCTATCGACAAAGCACTCCAACTAATATTCTCATAGCTGAATCAAGACTACCTTTGATACAAGAACGTACAAACTTTTTGTGTAACTGCTATTTGTTCAAAGTTACTTCAAATTCCAATTTATTAACATCAAAATAAATCAACCGATTTAAAAGAAAACTGCTAAATACAAATCATTTAATATCTCAGAATCAAAGAGTTATATCCCTATGTACAAAAAACCTGAGCAATATGGAAAATATTATGTATAAGTGCGAAAATTATAAAATGTATACAGTTGACTACAAGTCTATCATTCAAAACCTAAATATAGACTTGGACATTGGAATGGGTTTGAAAACTGCTGCAAATCTAAATACTTTCATTAACGAGCTGGTTGCTGAGAGGAATTTGGTCGCAATTTTCACTGACGGTAGCAAATCTTCAACATCCACTGCTGTAGGAAGCGTGAGCATCTGTCCTTCTCGTAATATATACACTAGCTTAAGTCTGCATAACTGCGCCTCTATCTTCACCTCTGAATGTATTACTATTCTGCAAACAAGCTCTCAACATCGCGCTAAGTGACTTCAACCACAACTAGTCTATATTTTCTGACTGGCTCAGTGCCCTATTGGCTTTGAAAAATGCTACAATGTCCGCTCATGATAACCCTTACGGCCTAGAAATAAAAAGCCGAGCTCTTGAGTTTTGTAGAAAAAGTACTAAGACATTATATTTCTACTGGGTTCCGTCTCATTTCGGAATCCAAGAAAATGATCGACTGGATGAACTAGCTAAAGAAGCTTCATTTTCAGAGCAGGAGATACATTTTAAGATTCCATACACCGATCTAAAGGAGTACAGCAAAAATCTCTCTTCCACCAACACCAATGATATAGTCACCTCATAGGCTCTTTCTAAAGGCGCAGATTATTTCCTAAAATACTACAAGGCTTCTTCAAAGGCGTGGTTTGCTATTACACAGCTTCCAAGGGAAATCATCATAACTGTCAATAGATGCCGCTCGGGACATTATAATCTCAACGCTTCTCTGGCCAAATTAAAAATAGTTCCACCTAACTATAAATGCAGCAGAGATTGGCAAGATTTAGATCACATCCTCTGGCAATGTCCCTTATATAATAAGCTTCATACGAAACTATTCATAGATCTGCGTAAAATGGATCTTTGCTCGCCACTAGCCTCCTGCGTCCTGCTCACTAATCCAAATATGAAAATTTGCAAAATATTGTATACTTTCTTAACAGATTGTAACTTATTGATATAAATACTTTTCTACTCACTGAAAATGTAAACTAACAATGTAAATATATGTAAAGCTGTTTATCTCACGTAAATATTTATAGTAGTAGTATATATGCATTGACTATGTATTTAGCATGATAATCTTGTATTGATTAAAAATGCTAAATAAAAAAAAAAAAGAAAACTGTAAGAATAGATAAATAATAAGTGACTTCTTTAAAAAAGTTAGACAAATATCTTACACAAATATAAGTGGATTGATTTATTCGATGAGGGATAAATATGCATAAGTTATCTAGATTTGATAATTTTGTTTTTAATCTCAAGTCGTTAATATTGTTGAATTAAAATTCGCTCATTCATCCCTTGATTTTATTAGTTTAATATTGGTGAGACGTTACGAAAATCATAAATCTCATTTTTGTTGTAATGACTGCCTTCAGATACTGATCAATTATCAAGATTGTTTCGATGCATAATCATATAATAATAGAAAAAATATTTCGGTATTGCTCACCCCAGAATCAAGTCCTTGAGTATTTGGAGTAGTTGATCGTTGCTGTAAGCCATGAAAACTCTGAAAATTTTAAATAATAAAAAAATATTAGGTATTGTCATATAAAATTTTCAATTCAGTATGATATTCACATACATGCACACGTTCGCAGATATGCACGCAAACACACACACACACACACACACACACACACACACACACACACACACACACACACACACACACACACACACACACACACACACACACACACACACACACACACACACACACACACACACACACACACACACACACACACACACACACACACACACACACACACACACACACATGTACATGTTTGTAAAGAAAGACCTATTCTACTTTTCAAATTCAAATGGATTATTAATTCAAGTATTGAACAATTTTTCAGATAAAATTTTTGTAGTTTAAAAATGGTCTATTGATGGCGATCTGAAACTTTAACTTAACGTTCAATATTATGAAACAATAATCTTTTATTAAAAATAGAAACTTCTGTTGTGATTTCAAATTCAGAAAGAGCAGAAAATGTTAGGCCGATATGAATTCCAGATTGAAGATATTGATTGATATGCAAATTGATATCTGGAATTCAAGAAAATTATTTCAAGATCATGTGAAGTTCAAACTTAGTTTTCTTTACTATATGGCCTAACAATATACGGACATAGTTGTGACGAGAGTAGGCAGTTGCCTGTTTCTCGTCGGTCCCTCTGCCTCTCCTCTTTGCCCTCGGCAAGGTTCAGTGGCCAGTATTGGGCGCACCCTTTTTATTATGCGCCTAATACTGTACCTCTTTTTTTTAGCAGCTATAAATTGCTAGACTCGGCCAAGAAAGCCGAAGGAAAACGTGAGAAGATGCTGCAGTCGAAGAAAGAAAGAGAGAGAGAGAGAGAGACAGACAGAGAGAGAGAGAGAGAGAGACAGAGAGAGAGAGAGAGAGACAGAGAGAGAGAGAGAGAGAGACAGAGAGAGAGAGAGAGAGACAGAGAGAGAGAGAGAGAGAGAGAGACAGAGAGAGAGAGAGCGCGCTCACGTGAGCACGTACTAAGCGGTTATAGGCAGCCAGGCGACGCGCGACCAATTATCGTTTCGTCGCAAGCCGCCTAAAACTAAGTTGAGTAAAGATAGTCTGCAAGAGCGCGGTTACTGCCCGCGCTGGAGTATTGCGTGGTGTCACATAACGTCAGCCACTAATCTAGGTTAGTCGACCGAAGGAATTAGCTCGCGCTGCCGATCATGTTGGCGATTGTTTTCTTTCCCTGCGAAGAAGAGGTTTGGTTGTCTTTCATCTTGTGCGGCCCTACGCCATGGCCTTTCGTCAAAGCGCGCACCACCTGCAGCAGCGTTAGTCAGACGAGAAGCCAGACAATCGGCCTGCTCTGCAGTTGCCACCTTCGCCTCCCAGGGATCATTGAGAAGAAATTAAAGGTCAGATTATCTCTTTCTCCCTGTTGTTCTCTCTCTCGCAATGATGTGCGGCCACGTGAATTATTAGGTAGCCAGGCGATGACTTGTCGGCTACCTTTGTTTAATTCCTCTCCATTAATTATTTGTAATGCGTGTTTGGTTTAGTTGTAAGTGCGCAGTAGCCCGGCGATCACTCACCAGTTACTTTACAAGTTTCCTTGTGTTAGAATAAGTCGCGTTTGTTATTTGGTTAAGGTATATAATGTTGTAGACGTACGATTAAGATGTTAAGATTTCTGATTAGTTTAAGCGCGCGTTTGTTTTGAATTATAAGGTAATAAAAGGTTTTGTCATTTGGTATTAATAAAAATTGGTTTATTTTCCCGCCTACTTTCCCGATTGCATTTAGAGCGAAAGCGCCTCTCTTACCTTCCCCTTTCAAAATAGGTAGCAGCGCGTCAAAACTGTTACATAGTGAAAAATGTCCCAAACAGCTGCTGTTTAATTTTGAAAGGATCAGACATCTTGGAGAATCATCATTTCTATAAACGTATTCTATAGCATACGATCGATCTATAGCAGAATAAAAGCATTTTGAATCATGCACATATCAATCGTAATCAAAGTCACCTTGAAGAAATTCTGACGCTGCATTAAGATTAAGCGGCCCTCAAAATGCATGCCTCACAAAAATTAAGAAAGCAAAAAACTTCCCAAACTTTTTGGTGATTTTGGATCGACTATATTTAAGTGAAAAATAGTTGCATAAGAAATTTTTAAAAAATAATTTCGTAGCTCTAAGATTTTTATTTTCAGATACAGTGCTCGGCGCGTACTTATGCCCACCCTGAAGCGAAATTTGTCAAACTTTAAAGTTTCATATCTCAGCGAAAAAAGAGTCGTAGAATGAAAAACTTTACACCATTTTAAAGGTAATAGCAAAAGCTTTAAGTAACGTGAAGATAATATTGTTAATACTAGAATCAAGTTTTTTATGCTTAAAAAATGAACATAAAAAATTTATTTTTGTTGCCCTTATACAAATTAATTTATTTGCTGTGCAAATCAGCGGATCATTAAAAATCCAAGCAAAATTAAAAGGTGGAATGTTTCTCTTTAAAATAAGAGCAACAGAACTCATTCTTGATTTTTTTATACAGAGAAATAGCTTTTTTTTTATTAAAAAATCGTTTTTTTTCATCAGCTCATATCTCAATTGCTATGCATTAAATATAAAAACTTTAAAGTCATAAGTCGTTTCTTTTTTGGTAAATAATACAAAAATAAAGTAGAATCTAAGATCTAGAACAAATGTTTTTTTTCATTTTTTTATTTTGGCCCCATCCACCGTATTCTCCAGATTTGAAGTCTGATTTTCACAATTTAAAATGGCGGATCCAATATGGCGTACATAATTTTCAAACATTAGCTTATATAAATGAAAATTTGTATACTTAGGTTTTTGGGGTCGTTGATTACGAATCTGAACTCCTATTTTCAAAATTGATGCAATATGGCTGGTGAAACATTTGAAATTAGAAAATAATTTTTTTTATATGAGAGTCTGAGAAGTCGCTAATTCTGATTTCAGCATTCTAGAAAATTTTCTACTAGTTACATATGTTTGTAATTATTTTTTAGTTTTGCAATGTAGAGTAACTGATCACGGGTGTAGTTTCGAATTTTTAAAATAAAGATTATGAATCTAAAGTAGTGAATAAATATTTGGTAAATTCTACCAACAGAATCTATTATAGCTTTGCTCAATATGAATTTCATATCCAGTATCATGCTGCAGTAATTTTTTATTTATGATATTCATCAAAGCAATTTTTCTTCACGTTGATGCATAAAGTCACATTGCATGTTGTGCAGTAGAATTGGGATCGAACTCGATTGTTTTTAGTACTACAAAACTCAAAATTTTTGTAGAGTCCTTCATAAACATCAGGCAAATGTTTCTGTACTGACGTCCTGATACTTTCAGGTGTTTTGATTTTTTTTTTGAAGCAGGAGTTTTGGGAATATTTGAACATGGTCTTCCTCGCTTCTTTTGGCAATTTAGTCCTATCAACTCATCTACAACTAATAAACGAAACTCTTTCAATTTCAAACCTTTATCAGGATTGAGTAATTTGAAAATTATAAAAGAGTTGACAAGAGTGACATCTATGAAGTGCCATAGTAAGCGGTGCCACCATTTTCTACTTTTTCTTGTGATTTCATAGAATGATTTCATCTGATCTGATTTGTTAACACATCCCATATGAGCATTATAATCCTTCGCCATTTGAGGGCAAGCTATAGTTGTCAATGAACCATCTTTTTGTTTTCTCTCTACCTCAGACAAATCAGTTGGATCATGAAAATTTGATAAAAAATTAACTGGTTTTTTGTCTACCTATTTCAAATATCTGATGCCCTCATTTGACGTACGGTATTCGCTGTCACCCATCTTAATGTCTTTATCTTTTCCTTGATTTTTAGGAAGACCTTTTCTGTCCTTTCTAATTGTCCCACAGGAAGAAATTCCATCTTTCAATAACGTTATCATCAAATTAGTACTTGTAAAGTAATTGTCAAAATAGATAAGGTAATTTTTATTTTTCAGAGTTTGAGATAAACTCATGATAACTCTTTCTCCTAAGTTTTTCTCAGTAACATTATTAATTTTTCCCGTGTGAATTTGAAATTCACATACGTAGCCATTCATATCTGATCTTACCCATATCTTATATCCTCGTTTTATGGGTTTCTGAGGCATGTATTGTTTCATAGTATTTCTGCCTTTGAACTTTACCATGCTCTCATCTATAGATTGCTCTCTGGTTGGATCATAATATTGCATATAAGTTTCTGAAATTCTTTCAATAAATGGCCTTATTTTGTATAATTTGTCAAAATTAGTTTCTCATTTTCAGGTTCTTTAGTTTGATCATTCAAATGCAAATTACTAAGAAGAAAAGAGAATCTTTTGACCGGCATTGACGAGCTTATGTAAGCATCATGCAACTGAGGATTTGAAGATCAATAATCATGATAAGACGGTAAACGTTTGACACCCATCATTATGTTCACTCCAATAAATTTCTTTATCTCATCTGTAGTCACAGGAACGTCATTCTTAATTTTATTCTGTTGATAATATAGATTTGTTTGTTGAACCATGTTTTCGATATTTTCTACCAATAAGAGCATCAAGAAAATATCCCCAGGTGTTCTAACAGTATCAGGAATATTCTTTGGCCCAACGTTCTGTGTGAAAGGTAAGTTATAGAAAGGTAAAGATTGATTTGACCAAGTTTCATCTGATGAAATTTTACTGTTTTCGAACTTACGAGAATCATTCTCATAATGTTTTCCAGAGTCTACATTCAGGTCACAACCATCTTCATCGCTTATGTCATTTCCATCGATAGATTCATCGTCTGATGGGATTTGATCTCCTTCATATTCTTCTTCAGAATTACTCATTTTTTATTCAAAATTATTTGTTTTTTTTTTTTATTCAACTAATCAATAAGAAAATTCAATACAAAGTTAAAACTAGGATCACACTATTTTGACTGTTAGCCTGCCATTCGAACGTGATCTCTAACACAGACAAAATTTCTTGACTCATCGAA